AGGGTTTGGGGTTTTGAGGGGGTTTAGGATTTGGAGCTCTAGACAGAACCTTATGAAGCCGATAGATTTTCGATACACCTCATGGACTTTCCCGGCGTGCGATACCTAAACTAGAACACCCAAAGTTCTAGAACCCCCCTCCCCCAAGCTGTGCCTACAGGAGCCCATGATTCTCGTCATGAAGGCGGAGGTGGAGAATTCTGAGCAGCGAGATGAGGTATGAAACTTCGATGTTTCGAGTTTCTGCTCGAGCCCCGAAGAGAAGTGGAATCATCGACTTAGGCCGAAACCCATGTTTAAGGGTTTAGGGCTTGGGAGTCTACTGTCTCGGGTTTAGGCTTAGGGGTTAAGGGGTTTTTGTGGTTCATGTTTCTTTAGGACCCCTCTTTTACGGAACACGCGTTGGAACGCCTCGCCCCGAAGAAGGAAGCGGAGGAGCCTCAATTTTCCAACCGGGGGCGGGCCTTCAAAATGAGGGCCTGCTCTTCTGACTGGTTCTTAGTAGGGAATGGAGGAATGGGCTTTGGGGACTACTGTAGGGGACCTTAAGGGACTATCGTAGGGATCCATTCCCCTATTCCTTACTAAGAACCAGGGAGTCTTAGACGCAGACAAGGCCCAAGAAGGCCTGGAGGAAAAGTCGTGTCTGATGGGTGCTTTGAGTGTTGTGTTGTTTGTTATTCTTCGCATGGCTAAAACTTGGCGATAACGATAACTCATTAGAATTGGTACATCTGCTATGACTCTCAGATTTTTTCGTATCCATCATGAGTCGGGTTTTGATTAGCTTTCAATCACGAACAGTTGTTGTCGCCAACCTGGACAGTCATTGCTATCTTTCCGTTCCCACGATCATGATGAACGTGATGCTATGCCCTAAGCCTAGCAATCATTGAAAAGCGTAGAAAGCCTCAACCTGAAGCACCACAGTCTTTAAACCCCCACCCTCAGCCCATGAAAGCCTTAGCATTGAAAGCCAAACCCTTCACATCCTAAACCCAAAACCCTATACCCTATACATCCTAAAGCTAGAAATTCAAAAGCCTGAAGCCAGAAGCCCTGCGCTCTAGAAGACCTTAAGGTAACCCTTATACTCCCATTAAAACGGTCTAGGGTTTAGGGCCCTGAAGCTTAAGCCCTAAATCCCAAAAACCAAAAAAGGACCCATAGAGAGCCATGAGGCCGATCCCCGGGATGTCTGAAAGGACCCTAAACCCGAAGCCCTAAAACCCCTGAAGCCCTAAAGCCCTCAACCCTAAACCTTAGGCCCTAAAACCCCTAAAACCCTAAACCCTAACACCCCTAAAACCCCTAAGACCCTAGACCCCTAAACCCTAACACCCCTAAACACCCTAGCTGCTCCAAAGTGACGCACCCCGTCCCTGGAGGCCCACTGCTTCGGTCAAGCGGGGGGGCAGGGGCGCACGCATTTCAAGCAAAAATCCCCTTGTGGGGGTTTCAGGTCTCGGGCTTATAGGGCTTATTATAGGGTTTTAGGGTTTGAGGGTTTAGGGTTTATAGGGCTTTGGGGCTTCTGGGTGTTTTAGGGCTTGAGGGTTTTAGGGTTTCGGGTTTAGGGTTTTAGGGTTTAGGGCTTAGGGTTTGAGGCTTAGGGCTTAGGGTTTTAGGGCTTAGGGCTTTGGGCTTAGGGTTTTAGGGTTTAGGGTTTTAGGCCCGAAACGCTGGGTCCGAACCTTCATCCATCAATCGCACTGTGAGGCGCCTGGATTGCACGGACACTGCGCAAGCGAGCTCTCATGTGGGTCGTTGTCTAAATTAGGGTCCCATTTTCGGGTTCCTTTTTATAAGGGTTCAGGGTTTATGGTAGCTCCAGGTCATTGCAGTATAATGGTGCCCCAAGAAACCCCCAACCACTCTGTTGCCGAAACCTGCTTGAATAATATCCAACCACCCTAAGCCTCAAGCCCTAGACCCTAAGCCCTAAACCCCTTAAAACCCTAAACCCTCAACCCTTGTCCATGCGCCAAGCCGAATCGTCTGCCAGGCGCCTGCCACCCCGATACGCGTGGCAACCAACGGCAGAGGCCCGAAAAGCAATTCATGAAGCCCTAAACCCCGGTTGGGTTTAGGGTTTAGGGTTTAGGGACCCGAAAACCCTAAAGCCCTAACACCCTAATGACCGTAGAAACCCCAAATCCTGACCTCGATTCCACCCCCTCCCAACAGCGCGGCAAGACTTCAGGTACTCAGAGGATCTAGAGGATCAGGGGACTTGTCATTTGGTGGCTCAGGTTACGAACCCTGTGCTTCTGCGACCGTACTTTTTGGGGTGGTTGCGATCCACCTGGTTTCGGCCTCTAGCGCCCCTAATTTGCCCCACCTCATCTTGAAGATATTGCCACCGCAACTTTGTGGACTCGACCGTAGTTTGCCCCACAATTTATATTCTCAGTATATAAATGAACCACCCCCTTTCATCCTACACCGACCTCATGGACGAGACCCCGATTTACCCCTGAGCGACCCCGATTTGCCCCAGGAATATGCTGGTCAAGGGTCTGGGACACCATGGTTTAATGATCGGAGGGTTAAGTGGGATCCCCAAAGCTCCGTGTCGTCGCATTGCTCGAAAGCAACAGCCCCAAGGCCTATGTAATGTGCCCGAAGCCCCGCCATGTCCCAACTCCTTAATAATCAGCCCCAAGGCCCTCTATTCCCGACTGCACCTAAATTAAATAATCAGCCCCAAGGCCCTCTATTCCCGACTGCACCTAAATAATCAGCCCCAAGGCCCTCTATTCCCGACTGCAATCCTAAATAATAATCAGCCCCAAGGCCCGCCAGCCACAAGGCCCACCATTTCACGACTCCACCATGTATCCCGCTTCGTGTGGGGGCCCCGTACTATACATAGACAGCAGAAAGCTCTGCACTTAGAGGCTTGATTTCAGGGTTGAATCCAGCTCGCCATGGGTGTGCTCTCGATCTTCGCTGAAATCGGATGGTGCCCCAGGGTCTCGGTTCACTGTTTAAGAATGTGCACTTTCCCGGGGCGAGGTACCTATGGATCTTTGTGGGCTATCCTGACAGCGATCTCCGACTTCTTGGGCTGGTGCCCGAGGGTCTCGAGTGTAATCCTAGGCTAGATTTCTACGGGGAACGAGGTACAGATCGATGATTTCTGGTGGTGCCGATCTTTGAGATTCCGTTGGTGCCCCAGGTTCTGATTCTGGCAGGGTTTTGACTAGCAAATTCTTAACTGAGGTACGGTCTGATGTTTGTCTATGAAGAAGGCCTTGCTTTCTCGCAAGGATCCCAGCTACTCGGGCAGGGGTTTCCGAATGAAGTCGATGCTAATTTTCTGTTGGGCTCCAGGTCTGGATATTCAGAAGGAGATCGTGGAAGATGACACGAGCTCGGACGGTTGCCCCGGCCAGTCTTGAGTTGTGCATGTGAGTATTATTGAGTGCATGTCATTGTAAAATCCGAGCGGTTGCTGTTGCTGATCACTCAAGAGCTTTTTTTCTCCACGCGATCGGCACTGCTGGTGCCCATGCCGAAAAGTAAGCCTCCGTCGCTTCGGGAAAAGTTTTTGCAGGCACAAGGGATCGGGGACCTGGGTTTTAGGGTGGTTGGAATCATAGCGCCATATACCCCGATTTGAGCGAGGCTACAAGGAGGGTCCTGAAATACTATCTATAACCCTGAACCTTAAACCCTTAAACCTAAACCCTCAAGGCCTATTTGAGGGTATGTTACAAGGAGGGTCCTAGCAGGTAGCTTCGTTTTCGGAGTCTGGGGCTTAGGGCCTTGAGGGTGTCCCAAGCCCTGATTTTTGGCTTTGGAGCCGAAGGTTTCTAGTAGCTTTAGGGTTTTAGGGTTTTGGGGTTTAGGGTTTTAGGGGTTTTAGGGTTTTTACTGCTTTCGGTTTACGGTCCTACCTTGGGGTTTAGGGTTTTAGGGGTTTTAGGGTTTTTACTGCTTTCGGTTTACGGTCCTACCATTTGTCTGTCAGGAGCTCTATGCTGGCATCCTCCTGAAGGATGACTACAAGGAAAAAAGGATCAAGGAGCTGTGCAGGGCGGAAAATGTGCGACCCGAAAAGATGAAAAGGCTGCTGAAGCAAGGGAAGGCCCTGTTGTAGACACCAATCCCCAAATCTGGGTAAAGTCTAATCCCTGTAGATGCTGCTACAAGCCTCTGACAGGCTCCGGTCGTTTTTTCCTTCGTGAACCTCCGGAACGGCAGCATCGGCCGGGATGAGGTGCTTAGGGTTCCGGTGGTTATGGGCTTTCGGATATTCCAACTTACGGATCGCTTGAAGGGCTTCTTTACCTTAAAACCCTAAACCCTAAACCCTTAAATCTAAGACTATATCAGAGATCAGGGATTTGCTGCTCATCGGCTATTTGCATGAAACCCTACAAATCCCTCAATCTCTCGATGAGACAACAATTGCACCCCGCCGGGTGGTACTGGGTTTAGGGTTTCCTGCTTCGGGGGTTGATGCCCAAGCCCTAACCCCAGGTGGAGGATGATTGCAATGCCACGCTGGCTGCGAGGCTCTTCACGACCCTAGGATTGAAGATACCCTCGTCTAACGAGACGAAAGCGGCCCTTCAGAAAGTCGCCAGCGATTACAGCCTGCTGGGGAAGAAGAGTTCGGTTGCAGCCCAGGAGGCACGAATCGAAGTTGTTCACACCAGTGCCAGTAGCCACCAAGCCTCGACCATCTTTTGGGAAAGGGGTTATAGGATGTTCGGGGTTTCTCGGGCAGGCTTGGGCGAAAACCGAGGGGGACCTCCACCGGGCCCTGATGCCGCACGTCATGGACCGCAGCCGTCGGAACAGTGAAGCCAGGCCAGGTTCGGTTTTCTTGAGATCCGCTATCGTTAGACTCTAGCCCCAAAGGTCGGGCAGCAGGAACATGAGCCTTCTGAAGAAGCTGGTGAACACTTTGCAAGAAGAAGCAGATCAGGACACCGAACAAAATTTAATCCAAACGATCCTATTTGCATCACTTCGCACTCTGATCACAGGAGAGAAAGATTCCTGTGGAAGACCCGAACAAGCTGCCGACCCGGGAATGGGGAGACTTTTCCGAGGGAGACAGCACAGGTGGGGTGGCGGTTTAAAGGGTTGGGAGTTCTCCGACTTTGAGCTATACTGAACCCTAACCCTATATAAACCCTAAACCCCAACTCGAGTGTACTCCACTTTGGGCTATAATATAAGGGGTCCCCTTAACCTTGAACTCACAAGCCCGAGCTTTCCGGAACCCCACAAATCCTACACATCCTGATCTCCTGGGTCCGAGATAACCAATCCCCGCCACAGGATATCCTGGTTACTTGGACGACGAAGACATGGTTGAGCAAGCTCAGGAAACCGGTGAAGAAGAGGACTTGGAGACTGATGCAGTCGTCGAGATCCCCGACGACCCGAGTGGCTTCCCTAAGACCCCTTGCAAGCCCCATGCCAAGCTGCCGCCGGTGGACAGTGACTCCGAGGCAGCTGCAGCCGCAGATGCCTTTGCAGAAGATGCTGAGCAGAATGCCGATGCCCAGAAGGATTGCGCCGGGAAGGGCGGGTTAGGGCAGGATTTCATTCGGGATTCGGGCTCTGCTAAAACTCCTCATGTGCAGGAGAGACGAGGTATGAAGAGGCCAGCAGCCTATGTTTCTGAGGGGCTAAAGCAATCGGCCGAGAAGCTCCAGAAGCAGCTCTCCGAGAAGTCCGTGCATGAAGGCGGCATCCTCGAGGCATCCGAAGCAGTGCACCGGAGCTTTTGAAGGGGTTTCGGTTCGGGATGTTTTATGCCTTTGGCATTAATATTGAGTCGCTACTACACCCTACACCCCTACAAACCCTAAACCCCAAAACCCTAAAGCATAAAACCCTAAACCTAAACCCCAAACCCTCCAACCCTAAACCCCAAACCCTAAACCCCAAACCCTAAACCCTAAAACCCTAAACCCTAAAACCCTAAACCCCGAATCCTAAACTTCTCTACGAACTAGTACCATCTAGAGGCATTCCTCGGTTCTGGGTTCGATATGGGCTTAAGCGGGTTTAGGGGGCTTTGCTTGAGTGATGAGCTATGGGAATTGGAACCATGCATACAGCCCTGTAAACCTATCAACTCCGATCCGAAACCCAAAACCCTGAACCCAACATTGTAAAATCCTCTGTCAAATCGCTCTAACCCCTAGGCCCTGATACAACGGAAACCCTAAACCCAAAAAGCTTAAACTGCATCCTAAATCCTATTAACCCAAACACCTTCAGCCCTAAGCCTTCCACTCTACAATATAAATTCCTCTCGGTTGATTCTGGGTTCCAAGCCCTGGGTATTTGCTTAGCAGCTTCGGCTTTCATCGGCTACTTTTCCTGCTGTCGCAGGTGCAAGCGAAGATCAGGAATGCTGCCTGCTTGTCCGAGGTGCAGAAAGACGAAGCCTTGCACGGCCAAGGCAGCTCCTCACGCGGCCGTGGCCGGGGGGGCCGCAATCGTGGCCGTGGGCGGGGCCCAAGTTCCGGAAGGGGCAGCAAGGAGGTCGTGGATCAGGATTTGGATGCAGAGGACGACAAGGCGACGAACGATGTGCTTTTGGAGGGGAATGAGACCGACAAGCCCAAGAAGCAGGGGAAGCTCCTTAAGAACAAGCCGAAGGTGCAGGCGAAGACAACCGAGGAGGACGAGCCGAAGAAGCAGGCGAAGGCGAAGACCACCGAGGAGAACAAGCCGAAGAAGCAGGCAAAGGCCAAAGCAAAGGGACCAGCGAAGAAGAAGCCGTCGGCGGCACCGGCCGAAGTCACGGGGCCCACGACTCTGGAACAGGACTGTCCGTCGCTTATCCCAGAACAGATCATATAATAATCGAATCGAAGCATCTGCACCTGTCCAGGAATGCAATAAAGTGTCGTCGCTGAGTGGGCTGAGTGCCTACCAGAAGGACCAAGACTAGATGATGTCGGGCTTCGGATTAATATTAAGCCTTAAAGCTTAAAGATAATCGACCGCCACCCCTCCCCCCCGCCGGGCAGGAGAACAGGAACCGCAACCTCCGTGCCATCCACGCCATTGCCAGGGACGACTGTCGCATGAAAATCCCCGCCCAGGATATCCTCGACCAGAGCAAGCAACTCGCATGCATTGTGCCCGGTGGTTGCAAGGGAAGCCAAGTCTTTGCAATGTGGGCAGCAAGGTCGTTCACGGTTCGCTTGCCCCAGCAGTCCAATTCGCAATCTTCGATAACTGTTCTGCCCCCTGGCTATTAAAATATCTTTTAAAATGATCAGCTTGACATCCTTCTGCTTGGAACACAGGTTTCAGCTTGGTTGCTTCTATGTCAACAAAACCTCGGAGCCCTACATCGCAAAGTGCAATCGTGTCTGGAAGGCACAGGTCAAGGCCAGATTCTACTAGCATGTGCCCGTATAATCCAAATTGTCTCCACGATGGCCCGCTTGCTAGGTGAACAAAAAGAAAGGATCCAACTTCTGCTGGACGGCTCATAAAGGATTCCGCGAAGCGATCGGAACTCAGGATTGATTCGCAAGCCCGGCAGCACTTCACTTTAACCCCCCCCTGTCCTCCGAGGTGGAGCCGTGCATGCATCGCTGCGAACTGGGATAATCTTGAGGAGGCCACTTGAATTTGTGTTTTGGTTTTGCCGCACTACACCCTCAACAACAAACCCTAAACTTCTCCCTAAACCTGAAACCCTACACCCTACACCCCTACAAACCCTAAACCCCGAAACCCTAAAACCCTAAACCTAAA